GCAGCACAGCAACAAGTGTGTTTTCTTCTTAGGATATTTCCTGAAACTCCTAAAATTTAGTTAATTTTTCACAGTAGACATCAGTGTTTTATATTTATGTTTTGTCTGAATTAAATGACTCACAATGAAGAACTACATCAATGCTTCCTTTTATGTAGTATGTTTTAGTAATTTAAAATTATTTGTATGTATTTAAACAAATGAGGTTTTTTTATTTCATATATTCATTAAAATCCATACTTTTGCTACATTCTTAACTAAAACAAAACTACTTATTATATAAGTCACCTATACTTTAGGTAATTAAGAACCATTACAGGGTGTTTGGAAGGAAATGTCCTTCCTTGTGTCAGCATCATCTAGTAGAGGGCATCACATTACTTAGTGGTCTCCACCGGTGTTTTCTCCTGAAGTCATTTGATCCCAGTTCAGTTTCAGAAATCTTATACCAATGCTCTTGGCTTGTTGTCTGTGCACTACACAGTAAGACATATCCTCAGAGGGGATCTCAGTGGCTGGAACACTCAATATTAACTACACAGTGAACACAGTGATCATTTTCCCTCTTGGTGTCTAAAGAGCCAAGATCCAAATTCCAACAGCCTGAGAGGAACATTTGTGTCCATCAATCTGTCCTGTGTTCCAGTCACTGAGAAAGTGCCCCTTCCCAACACCCTGACAGTGGAGGTGCTGCCGGTCTCTTTTGTTCAGAAGAGAATGCAGGATGTTAGTCAGGCCTCACCCTGTCCAGTTCTGTGCTTAGTGTTCGACTTTCTCAGTCTGGATCTTTATAAACCCATCAGAACAGACACGAGCAGTTGTCTTTCTTACTGCTAACACACAGAGACTAAGAGGAGAAGGGAGAGACAGCTGTGCAGGAGAGAGAAGTCTTGGTCATGTTTCCTCCTGAGCTGAAGACAAGCAGAGTCTGCTGCAGGCTGTGGGTGTCCCGGGATTACAGCGGGGTCAGAGATGAGGCTTCTCTGAAGCTTCCTGCTTCTGTATTTCAAAAGAGCACTTTCCTGTCCTCTGTTTTGGGGTGTAGTAAAAGTGTTGGTCAACATCCTGGCTACAAGTCTGAACGCAGAGAAGCACCCACACTTGTTTCAGTTAAAAAGGTGACAGGGATTAATTCCCAAGATACTTTTCAGAAGCAGCCATCACTTCCTAGCCCAGATATTCTCCTGGCATTCCTCATGGCATTCCTGCAGCACCTGTATCTCATGGCCCCTCTGCACACAGCGCTGACATCTGCTTTGTGATGGCCTTCCTTCCCTGACACACCAGCCATCTCTCTAGAGCCTTCCTAGTTTTCCAGAAAGAATTGTGCAATGAGCAGAGCACACTGCTCAGTTCCACCTCATCCCAATCCCTGGTAGATGCGCCAGTTCCCCTTCCAGCCCTCTGTCCATTTTACATGAACTTGCAGAGGGGACCAGAGTGACGACAGCATGGTCAAGGTGAGTGGGATGAGCATGAAAACTACAAGCATGCTGTTTGGTGAACATAAGAGTGGACAGGTACTGTTAAGTCCTGACATAACCATGTTTTTTATCCATCCTTTCAACACCAGGAGATGGGTGGGCCAACTCCATGGTGAGGAGGAAACAGATCTGTCCATCCTACCTGCTTCTCCCTGGAGCAGTGCACCTCCCGGGGCATAAGCATTCTATCCTGTAGTGACATCTGCCAAGGCTTTATTCCTCCCATTCCACTCCCTACTTCCAACCAGATCACAACTTCGGGCCACTGTCCTGAGCATCTGTCACTTGTTAGAGGCCCGTTTGGTGATGTCAGGTACTTCAGGGCTCTCCCTGATTGCAGCAACTCCAGGATGACACAGTGTCTGCAGTCATGGCTTTATGAACTCTGCAGTGCAGGGCAAGCTAACTCGATCATCTTTAGGGGACATCCCTACAGCTGGCTCTCACAGGGAGCCTCAGGTTTCTCCTGGTCGTTTCTTCCTTCTTGGGTATTGTTTTCCTCGTCTGTGCACTAAGCCTTTTCTGTTTTATACTCGTCATGTGTGACAATTTCCCAAGCCCATGTCACTTCCCCTGTGACTTATTTCCTTATATACAGAATGCCAGGTGTCTCTGAATAAGTCGGTGTTTTCATTGTGCAAAAGGCGATCTGGGTTCACAATACAACAGGCGATCCTCCGACACCCACAGGACAGTCGCCCTTAACTTGTCTGATGGAGGAATGAGACTTAAATGATGATGCTGAGGGTGGGCTGTTAATGTCCTGTCCCCGGACATCCAAGGCCATGCTCTGCTAGGCTGGTGTGAGCTGATAGGCTCACCTGGGAGGGGGTAGTGCTGAGGATTCCTTTCCATGGCTTGCTGAGGGATTCACCTTCTCCAGATGGCTCCCTGTTGTTGGTCTAGAGGTTACTGCATACATTTCTTTACATCATGCCCAGTTTAAAGACCTTTGGACCTCATGTGCTTGATCTGCGTGTCTGACTGATGAAAGTGTGGTGCCACACTGGGAGACAGCAGGACGGCTGCAGAAACGTTGTCTGCATCTCTCCTGGCCTGGTGGCACTTGAGATGACAGGATGGCATTGCCACCTTCTTATTCTGTCTTCTGGATGAAGGAGGCTTCTCTGGTGCCTTATTATTCTCCAGAAAAATAAGGTTTTCCAGTGGCTCCAAGGCCTCATCTACTGAAGTTGTGTTTTCATGAGATCAATCTCATTTTCCTGAATGAGGGTTTGCAGTTACAGTTTACAAAGGACCATGGACAACAGAGACACTGTCCTGTTGTGGTGAAAATGTACAATTTACATTTCACAATGTGCTGTGTAGGATTGAAGGTTCCTCCTTCTCCTCCTCCTCCTCTTTCTCCTTCTCCTCCTCCTTCTTCTTCTTTGTCTCTCTCTCTCTCTCTCTCTCTCTCTCTCTCTCTCTCTCTCTCAGATTTTGTTTCTGAAATCTGCTGACTGAGACTGGGATTTTGTCATTAAGCCCATATACTATACAATGAAAATAATAACTCAAGGGTAATTCAGTAAATAATTCAGTAAATCTTATTTAAAACTCTGCTTGTACTGTTACTGCTATTATTCTTACATTATTATTACTATTAAATTTATAAAAGTTTAACTTGTCCTAAGGATTATATAGAATTTTATTTAGGAAAATTTCCACGCATATATGTATTCTCACTACATACATGTTTGGTGCCTGTGGACCTCAGAAGCAGCTTTTGGATCCCTTGGAACTGGTGCTCCAGGAGGTTTGGGACTGCCGTGTGGGTGCTGGGAACTGAACCTGAGTCCTCTGCAAGAGCAGCAGATGCTCCAACCATGTAGCCATCTCTCCAGATACGTCTCTAACTGTTTAAACTGACTACCTTAGCTCTGATTTCTTTCTTTTCATTTCATTTATTTAGTTTGTGGGCAAGGAGAAGGAGGCATGCTTGCCGCAGCACACTCGTTGGGGTCCTCGGAGTTGGCTCTTCCCTTCCAGAATGTAAATCCCAGGAATCAAGCTCACATCATGATGATTGACAGCCAGCCCATCTGCACACTGAGCACATAGCTGGTACGGTGTTCAGGAACTTGGACACTTCTGCTTCTCCCTCACATCTTCCAAGTTCCCTGGTCTAAATGAGATAAAATCAACACAACCTTGAATTTCAGATGATAATTGCTATATGATTAGGAAAATTTTATATTATTATGCAATTCAGGACTATGATACTTGAATTAAAGTAAATGTTTGCACTGCATGAGAAAGAACCTTCCAGAAGATCCTCCATCAAATCTTCTGGTGTTCATCTGAGCTTGGACTTCCTGAGTCTGAGAAAAATCACTGCTTTCTCAAGGAGGTATGGATGCCTAGATGCCTGTGCAGCCCACTTTTAGAATGAGTTTGATAATTTTTCTTTCCTTAAAACCCTACAATGGGAATGGCTCTGGATCTATTGTAATTATAATTCTACTTCTATTTATTTATTGTCACGTGCTAGAGGAGAAAAACCCCAGACCATGTTCCTGCCAGTATATAATAACTGGGCGCTTCTCACCGAGGCTTTTGCTATGCTGTGAAGTGAACATATATCTCAGATGCAGTTACAAAATTGGATTTACAGAAAATGCCTAAAATGCTACTGGAAGGGAGGGCTCAGATATTCTACTGCTTTCATATTTGATCTTCTCTGTTTCAGGCAGAGCAGAGTGATCAATTGTATTAAAAACTATATTAACCCTCCCAAGTCATAAACATAAGGAACCTCATGAGAGTAAAGCCAGCAGCAGACACTTCCACAGCTCACCCTGGGCAGGAAACACTGCCATGCCTGGTATGTAGACGTCATCTTCTTCCACGCCCAGGGCTTCCCTGACACAACACACGACTGTCCATTTGTTCTAGAGAAGGTGATCACAGCTCGGCCTCACAGTGCTCACGGGCACACTCAGAGGAAATGGCAGACTGTGGGTAGAATGTGACGCAGTCGGGACTCAGTTCCCACACACGAAGAGCATTAGGTCTGCAGCAAACGAGCAGGACAGAGAGAGGTGGAATAAAATGGCTCTGGCCTGTTTGACCCTAGGACACTGTTTCATGCCAGGGTCTCATTTCTACTTTCCTGTAACCCTCACTGACCTTCATCCAAAACTGTGGTGCTCTGTGTGCCTGATGTCAAGATGATACAGATGAAAGACAAGTTGCTTTCGCCTCAGGAAACCTCAACTATGAAGCGACAGGAAAAGAAATGTTTGTATGATACATGGCAATTTTTAATGTGAAAGGAAGCTTAGACAGTGGTGGGCATAAGTGTTGGAATGGCAGAGAGGGGTGATGGCTTCCGGACAGTTTGAAGGGAGGCGATGTTAAGGGGAATAAGGCTGAACTGTGAAGCATCGACAAGTCTTCCTGAGGTAGCGATGCTGTCGTTGACTGCAGTTGATGAGCAAGGCTGGATTTGTGATATGGAATCTTCTCGCTGTCCTCCCCGCACAGTTTCTACCTGCTTCTTTCAGGTATAAAATGAATAAAATCAATAAACTGTCCCATAACACTAAGGTAAGAAACACCATTTATTTCGAAGCTGGAATTGGAGTCACAGGCAACAGTTTCCTTGTTCTCTTCCACATCCTCAGGCTCGTTCATGGGCAGAGGTCCAGACTCACTGACCTGCCCATTGGTCTCTTGGCTCTAATCCACATGCTGATGCTGATAGCCATGAGTTTTCTAACTACAGACATTTTTATGCCTCGGAGGAGATGGGGTGACACCACATGCAAATTTATTATGTTCTTGTACAGGTATTTAAGGAGCCTCTCTCTCTGTGCCTCTAGCCTGCTCAGCATCCTCCAGGCCATCACCCTCAGTCCCAGAAGTTCCTGTCTAGCAAAGTTCAAGTGTAAATCTCCACGCTACATGCTAGGTTGCCTTCTTTTCCTCAGTGTCGTCTATGCGTCCATTAGCTTTCCCCTCTTATCATATGTGATTGCGACCCCTAATTTGACCTCATCTAGTCTTATCTACCTCACCGAATCTTGCTCTCTTGTACCCGTGAGCTCCTTTGTCCGGCACACATTTTATATATCTTTAGTTGTCAGAGACGCCATCTTTGTAGGCCTCATGGCCTTCTCCAGTGGGTACATGGTGACTTTCCTGTATAAACACAAGAAGCAGTCACAGCTTCTCCACAGCACCAGGCTTTCCCTTAAAGCATGCCCAGAACAAAGAGCCACATGGACCATTCTGTACCTCATGAGTTTCTTTGTTGTGATGTATACCTTGGACAACTTCCTTGCCTACTTAAGACTCAGAAGTGATGATCCTGTGATTTATTGCATGTTGATTCTCATAGGCCATAGCTATGCCACAGTCAGTCCTTTTCTGGTCCTCAGCACTGAAAGAAGTTTAATTAACGCTTTTAAATCCATGTGCTCAAGGACAGTAAACATGTATGGCTGAAGGATGCATGCCTGAGTTCCCTTAAGATGAGGCGGTACACTGCCACCAGAGCTATGCTGTGAGATTGCTCATGTGCGCTTCTTTAAAGTGAAAATTTTAAAGTGTTATTCTTTTCTATTTTTTATAAATTATTAAGATTTATTTATTTTATGTATATGATGCTCTATATACACATGTGCCTTCGTGCCAGAAGAGGGCATCAGATCCCATTATAGATGACTATGAACCACCATGTGATTGATGGGATTTGAACTTAGGATCTCTGGAAGAGCTCCCAAAGCTCAACTGTTGAGCCCTCCTTCCAGCCCCCAGAGTTATTACTTTTTATTGCTGTTAAACCTATTTACTTTGATATATATGGCTGGCAGACATAAAAGAAAAGCCACATGCTGGATATATAAGTGTATTATACTCGCCAGGGTATCTTCAAGGGAGATATTGGAAAGTGAATCTTCCTTGCCATGTTGTCATGGTCTGGGCCACCCATACTAATTTAAAATATCTGACAGATGTGATCTCTGATTTACCAAATTAGGTATGCAAACATTATTATAATAATCATATAACCAAAATACAAACCACACATACACACAGAACAGAGACTGAGACAGACAGAGAGACACAGAGAGAAACACACACATACAGAGACAAACACACACACACACACACACACACACACAGAGTCTATGTATAATACATAATCCTAAGGATGGCTAAACAAATTGCAGCCTCTCTACACTGGGTTGTTATTCAGCTTTCAAAGGAAAGTGGATTCTTCACATGGTACCACACAAATGAGCATGAAGCCACCAAGCTGACTGAATAAGAGTCATGCAGAGTGAATTCTGTGTGGATTACTTGGAGCAGGAAGAGCTAAGAGACTCACACAGGTAGAGACAAAGTAGAAGGTTGTTCTCAGCTCAGGGGGGATGGCCATGAGTGGGGGGGGGGAGAAGTGGTACAGATGGTTGGTAAAAACGTAAATCCCCTTGATCTCCTTTTGTGGTGTTATTGCCCTAGCTAGAACCTCAAGAACTATATTGAACAGATATAGAGAGAGTGGACAACCTTGTCTCATTTCTGATTTCAGTGGGATTGTTGTGAGTTTCTCTCTATTTAGTTTGATGTTGGCTGTTGGCTTGCTGTATATTGCCTTTATTATGATTAGGTATGTTCCTTGTATCCCTGCTCTCTCCAAGACCTTATCATGAAGGGATGTGGTGGATTTTGTTGAACACTTTTTTAGCATCTAATGAGATAATCATGTGGTTATTTTTTTTTCAGTTTGTTTATATGGTGGATTACATTGATAGATTTTTCTATGTTGAACCATCCCTGCATCTCTGGGATGAAGCTGATTTGATTGTGGTGGATGATTTTTCTGGTGTATTCTTGGATTCGATTTGCCAGTATTTTCTTTAGTATTTTTGCATCAATGGTCATGAATGAGATTGGTCTGTAATTCTCTTTGTTAGTAATGTCTTTATGTGGTTTGTGTCACGGTAATTGTAGCCCCATAAAAAGAGTTTGGGAATGTTCTTTTTGTTTCTATTGTGTGGAACAATTTGAGGAGTATTGGTATTGGTTCTTCTTTGAAAATCTTGTAGAATTCTGAGCTGAAACCATCTGGTCCTGGGCCTTTTTTTTTTTTTTTGGTTGGGAGACTTTTGATGACTGTTTCTACTTCTTTAGCAGTTATAGGTCTACTTAATCTGCTTATCTGCTCTTGATTTAATTTTGGTAAGTGATATTTATCCAGAAAGTTGCCCATTTCCTTTAAGTTTTCCAATTTTGTGGAGTACAGGTTTTTGAAATATGACCTAATGATTCTCTGGATTTCTTCCATGTCTGTTGTTATGTCCCCCTTTTATTTCTGATTTTGTTAATTTGGATAGTCTCTCTATGCCTATTGCTTAATTTGGATAAAAGTTTGTCTATTTTGTTGATTTTCTCAAAGAACCAACTCTTTGTCTCATTGATTATTTGTATTGTTTTCTTTGTTTCTATTTTGTTGATTTCAGGTCTCAATTTGATTATTTCCTGCCGTCTAGTTCTTCTGGGTGAGTTTGCTTCTTTTTGTTCTAGTTTTCAAATGTTCTTTTAACTCACTGGTGTGGGATCTTTCCAGTTCCTTTATGTAAGCATTGAGTGCTATGAACTTTCCTCTTAATTCTGCTTTCATTGTGTCCCATAAATTTGGGTATGTTGTGTGGTCATTTTCATTGAATTTTAGGAAGTCTTTAATTTCTTCCGTTATTTCTTCCTTGACCCACTGATGATTCAGGTGAGCATTGTTTAATTTCCATGTGTTTGTGGGCTTTCTGGAATTAGTGTTGCTGTTGAATTCTAATTTTAAACCATGGTGATCCAATAAGTCACATGAGGTTAGTCCACTTTTTTGTATCTGCTGGGTGTGCTTTGTTGCCTAGTATGTAGTCAATTTTTGAGAAGGTTTCATGAGGTACTGAGAAGAAGGTATATTCTTTTATGTTTGGATGGAATGTTCTATGAATGTCTGTTAAGTCCATTTGAGTCATAACATCTATTAGTTCCCTTGTTTCTCTGTTACTTTTCTGTCTGACTGACCTGTCCAGTGGTAAAAGTGGGGTGTTGAAGTCTCCCGTTATTAGTGTGTGTGGTTTATTGTGTGATTTAATATTTAGAATTCTTTCTTTTACATATGAGGGTGCTCTGGTATTTGGGGCATAAATGTTCAGTACTGCGATTTCCTCTTGATGGAATTTTCCTGTGAGTAATATGAAATGACACTTTGTCTCTTTTGACTGATTTTAGTTTGAAGTCTGTTTTGTTAGACATTAGGATAGCTACACCAGCTTGTTTATTATGTCCATTTGATTGGAATTTTTTCCCAACCCTTAACTCTGAGGCAATATCTGTCATTGAAGTTGAGGTGTGTTTCTTGTATGCAGCAGAAGAATGGATTCTGTTTTTGTATCCAATCTGTTAGCCTGTGTCTTTTTATAGGTGAGTTGAATCCATTTATATTAAGGGATATTAATGACCGGTGATTGCCAGCTCCTGTTACTTTAGTTTTCATTGTTGGTGATGTTATTGTGTGTGTTTTTCCCTTCTTTGGGATTTGCTGATGTGAGATCACCAATTGTCTGTGTTTTTGTTGATGTAGCCAACTTCCTTGGGCTGGAGTTTTTCTTCTACTACTTTGTGTCAGGCTGGGTTTGTAGCTAGGTATTGGTTGAATCTGGTTCTGTCGTGGAATATCTTGTTTTGTCCATCTATGGTGATTGATAGTATTGCTGGGTATAGTAGTCTGGGCTGGTATCCATGTCTCTTAATGTCTGCATAATGCTTGACTAGAACCTTCTGGCTTTTCGTTGTTTCTATTGAAAAGTCAGGTTTAATTCTGATAGGTCTGCCTTTATATCTTACATTTTACTTTGTAGCTCTTAATGCTTTTTCTTTATTCTGTATGTTTAGTGTTTTGATTATTATGTGGTGAGGGGACTTTTTTATCCAGTCTATTTGGTGTTCTGTAAGTTTTTGTATCTTCATAGGCATATCTTTCTTTAGGTTCAAAAATTTTTCTTCTATGATTTTGTTAAATATATTTTCTGTGCTTTTGAGTTTGACTTCTCCTTCTTTTATATCTATTATTCTTAGGTTTGGTCTTTTCACTGTGTGCCATGTTTCCTGGATATTTTGTATTAAGTTTTTGCTAGATTTAATGTTTTCTTTGACTGATGAGTCTATTTCTTCTATTGTTTCTTCACTGCTTGAGACTCTGTCTTCCATCTCTTGTATTCTGCTGTTTATGCTTGCATTTGTGATTCCTGATCATTTTCTCATAATTTCTGTTTCTGTAATTCCCTCAGTTTGTTTTTCTTCTTTATTGTCTCTCTTTCAGTTTTCAAGTCTTGAATAGTTTTTTTATATATTTGATTGCTTTTTTTGGTTTTCTTTTTCTTTAAGGGATTTGTTGATTTCTTCCATTTTTAATTTGTCTTTTCCTCCATTTTGTGAGGGAATTTTTCATTTCCTCTTTAAGGGACTCAAACATTCTTCTAAAGTTATTTTTAGGTCTTTTTATTCTACTTCATCTATATTTGGTTGTTCAAGTCTTGCTGTTGTAGGTCCAAGAGTTTTTATTGGACTCATGTTGATCTTTGTGGTGTTGTGTGTGTTCTTACCTTGTCTACCCATCTTTTCCTCTGATTGGTGTAGTTGGGACTGTCTGTGTCTCTGGTGATCAATCTTCAGGTCCAGTGGATCCAAGACTCAGATGGCTGCTCCTCATGGTACAGTCAGGACCACGGTTCCAGTCATGGGAGTTGGTCTTTCAGTCTCTTAGGGGTCACTCCAGCAGCAAGAATCTTCACTGTTGGCTTGCTTACTTTTTTTTGGACAGTATCTCAAGTGGCTCACACTGACCCACACTAGCATCAGACTTCTTGTGTAATCAATGGTGCCCTTGAACTCCTCATCTTCCTGTCTCTACCTCCTAAGTACTAAAATTATGGGCTTGTGCCAGAATACCTGAGTGGCAATTTAATATTTTTTTGATACTGGGTTTCTCTGTATAGCTCTGACTGTCCCAGAACTCACTCTGTAGATAAGGCTGACCTTAAACTTGGAAATCAACTTCCTCTGCCTCCTGAGTGCTGGGATTAAAGATGTGTGTTGCTACCACCTTGCTGAAAATTAATTTCTTATATATGTAGTAGCTAGTAATTCTAAAACGGATCCTTTGGATAAACAATAAATAAACAAATGGTCTAGGTTGCACCAAAACTCTCTGAAAACGTGTGCCCACACCCTCTCCCCTACTTGCAAGTGTTGCCAACAGCACTGTCCATAGTCATGGTCAAGGGTAATAAGGGCGCTCCAACACAGCAACACACAGGCAGGTGGAGTCTCCACAGTCAAAGTCAATGGTAATAAGGGCACTCCGCACAGCAACACACAGGTGGATGGAGTTGACATCAAATGTATACAAAACAAAATGCATCTTACGTGCACCACGT